CGGTTTTATGTTGATCCTCGGGCCGGATTGCAATCTGATGGTACCCGGACTTCAGATCTATCTTACTGAAGTACCGACACCCTTGCACTCTATCTAACCTGTCTCTTATACACATCTAGATGTGTATAAGAGACAGCATCAGAATTGCATCACGAGTTCCACCAAATAAGAGCACACCAAAAGCTCATAATTGACAATGCTGGAATAGTCTCATCATCATCATCAACGAAGAACCAATGTTGATATCCTATCTGACGCTCGGCGCCCAGACTACAGATGGCAGATCCTATCTAGCCTAGACTACAATGCCGAAGATGACGACAACAGCTCTCCCGAAGTACGAGCAGCTGTCTCTTATACACATCTAGATGTGTATAAGAGACAGGTGCTGGTCGCCTTGGCTGTCTCCTGTACGCCTTCAGCTTCAAACCTGGCTGGCTCATAATGTCTCCGTGGTCTTTTTTGTCACAGCAGTCCACAACCTCTGGCTCATAATCTCGTTGTGTTTTTTTGTGTGACAACAGTTCACTGCGTCTGGCAGCACGAAGAATCCTGAGCATGGGACACTGATTGTCAGCACGATGGCTGTTGTTCTATTCACTACCTTGGTACGTGCCACAGCCCTCCTCCAGACTGCTTTTCTCTGAATGCCTGGGATTTTATCTCAATTTCTTCCCCTTCTATACTTCACACGTGATAGATAACACAACAATGTCATGGAAAACCAAAATGCTACGGAGATGCGTACAGAGAGTAGTAAATGTGTGCACATATCTGTGCGCATGTGTGTGTTCACTGTGTGCGCATCCCTTCGTGTGTGTGTGTGTGTGTGTGTGTGTGTGTTTGTGTGTTTGTGTGTGTGTGTGTGTGTGTGTGTGTTGCTACCTGAGCACTGAAAATGCAGTCCATGCATATAGCATACACCTAAGTGGACCGTCACTTGCACATATGACGAGTAGAACTCTTCAGAGTATAGGTTCATGCCATAATGAAGAGTCAAGGGGTTGCTTTGAAGAATGTATGTCACCATCAGGGAACACAGACACAGGCGTCCCTAACACAGGAGCCTTCTAACAGTGTTACGAGCACGTTCTTTTCTTGATTCATGCATGTGATGCTTGCACAGAGGCCATGCTAATCTTGTCTGTATCGTTCCAACTTTGACACATGTCATGGAGGACTGTTTCGGGCCCTTCTAACAAACAGCAACCGACTATTTGGCACATCTCTAATGTCCAATCGCATTGGAGATCGAGGAGAACATGGAAAGAAGGACAACCAAGACAAATTGGAGAAATATAAAGGTCGTGTGTGTGTGTGTGTGTGTGTGTGTGTGCTGTCTCTTATACACATCTAGATGTGTATAAGAGACAGCATATAGCATACACCTAAGTGGACCGTCACTTGCACATATGACGAGTAGAACTCTTCAGAGTATAGGTTCATGCCATAATGAAGAGTCAAGGGGTTGCTTTGAAGAATGTATGTCACCATCAGGGAACACAGACACAGGCGTCCCTAACACAGGAGCCTTCTAACAGTGTTACGAGCACGTTCTTTTCTTGATTCATGCATGTGATGCTTGCACAGAGGCCATGCTAATCTTGTCTGTATCGTTCCAACTTTGACACATGTCATGGAGGACTGTTTCGGGCCCTTCTAACAAACAGCAACCGACTATTTGGCACATCTCTAATGTCCAATCGCATTGGAGATCGAGGAGAACATGGAAAGAAGGACAACCAAGACAAATTGGAGAAATATAAAGGTCGTGTGTGTGTGTGTGTGTGTGTGTGTGTGTGTGTGTGTGTGTGTGTGTGTGTGTGTGTGCGCGCGCGCGAGAGAGAGAGAGAGAGAGAGAGAGAGAGAGAGAGAGGGGGGGGGGGGGGGGGGGGGGTTCTGGGCTTGCATAAATAAACTCCCTATACATTATGTGTGGGCTGCCCAGATTGGCCACGATTGTCAGACCATAGCAATATGGTAGGTGTATATGCCTTGCCTGGTCAAGTCCTATGGGTGTAGGTTAGTTCTCTAGTTGGGAATGGACCGCAAGGACAAATCATAACCCTGGTTAACTGGAATTTCTTCTGGGTTGATAACGGACCCAGCAGCACGTGCTTCTACATGAGCTTCACAGAACCAAAGCTGGACTGGTACTCACGAGCACCAACGTAAAACTCGTTGACATCATCGAAAAATGGCAAACGCATGTTTCAAATTTGTGCTCCTGGCGCTCCAGTGGCAAGTTATCTCATGGGGGAATGGGCTGCAAAAACCACTCCTCACCCCTGTTAAACGTGGGGAAATGGACGGCAAAGACCACTCCTTACCCCTGTTAAATGGCATCCCTTTGGGGTTTCGCTGTTTCAGCGTGATCCCCCCTGTGCATGCTGGCTGGCTTGTGCAGTGTCTGGCTCTTTCATGATGTATTGCAGATGGAGGCAAGGGTCGTGAGCTCACTTTGAGAAAATGAGACCTGACCATATTGGCCTTTGCAAGTTTGCATGGGTAATCTTGTGTTCCTGGTGCAGATTGTGCTCCTTGTGGTTGGTACTAACGCAGACCCTGTCAAAAACAAGTATACCAATTGGTACTCAAAACATTGGCTGGTAGGGCCCAAGGCGGCCAATCAGGGAGTGGTTGCTGATGTTGTTTTTTTTTTGGTTGTTTTTTCTTTTGCAATCTAGCTCCTTTTTAACATTCCAAAGATAGATCGAGTCCGGGGACCTCACAAATCAACCCGGGGTTATCCTGGGAACCTTGCCCAGTTTTGCTTACAAGCCTCCTCTCGCAACAGAAAAAGTGGTTGCTGATGTTGGTTGCCCTCCACATAGCTTTTCCCCAAAGACTTCCAGTATTGGTAATCTCATGCTCCTGGTGAAGATTCTGTTCCTTCTGGTGCCGACCCAGCTGCCTCTGGGCTTGGCTGGGTTGTTCTGCTTCTGGTGTATCTCTTTCTGACCCTGTTCATGTATCTGATCCTGTTTGTGTTTCTGATGATGTGCCTGTATATAGTCCTGATTGTGTACCGGATCCTCTTCCTGGATGCCATTCGACTTCTGCCTCTGATTTGCTGAGGGTCTTCCTGTGTTTGAATCCGTTCTGGTCCCTTCTTTTCCCTGTTGCTCATATTTGTGCATCTGTTGTTGATCCTCTCCCTGTCCTGGTCCTGGTCCTGTTCCTGTTCCTGTTCCTGGTCCTGGTCCTGGTCTTGGTCTTGGTCGTGGTCCTGGTCTTGGTCGTGGTCCTGATCGTTGTCCTGTTTCATATCCAGATCCTGGTCCTGTGGGCTGTTGATCTCACCATTCATGTTTGTTAATGTGCAGATCGTGTTCCTGTTCCTGGTACTGGTCCTGCTCCGTGTCCTGGTCCTGTTTCTGTTTCTCGGTCCCGGGCCTGTTCCATGTCTGGATCCTGTTCTGTTCCTGGTCCTGGTCCTGTGGCTGTTGTTGTCACCAGTCATATTTTTAATGTCCAGATCCGGTTCCTGTTCCTTGTCCTGCCTGGTCCTGGCGCATGTCGTGTTTCTGTTCCTGGTCCTGGTCCTGTTGTTGTCACGATTCATGTTTGTTGATGTCCTTCTTGTTGGGACTGTTTGCCTGTCCAGCTTTACAATGCATTGGAAAGTTCACTAAGGCACTGCTGCCTCTCCTGCCGGTCCTGCTTCTTGTTGTGATCCTGTTTCTGTTCCTGCCTGATCCCGGTTGTGTGGCTGTTGTTGTCATGATTCCTGTTTGGTAATGTCTGTGCTGCTGGGCCTGTTTACCTGTGCCCTCGACACCTCGAAAATGTTCAACTCTACGTATTCTTGACTTGGCGAGCAGCAAACGGTTTGGCCCGGTAGGCTCTGCCGTGGGCAGTCGGCAGCTTTTCGTGAAATGTCGAGTGTGCCAAGTTGCCAACTTTGACGATTTTTCATGCTCGCCGCTCAAAAAAAATAATCTATCTTTTTTTTGGAATATTTGATGAAGAAAATCTGAAACAAATTACAGTGCCATAGATCGAGTGCTAATCTGTTCGAGGGAAAAAATGTTTCTCAAATGAAACGAAAATTCTCCAAGTGCAAGGAAGATGAGCAATAGCGAACTTCAGCAATCAAACAGCATCATACCTGTCTCTTATACACATCTAGATGTGTATAAGAGACAGACCTCGTTCCCCAACACGCAGATGCCACATGCACCCAAGGACCACCCTGCGCCTCCCCCAGCTCCCAGCAGCGCAGCTCGGCTATGGCTGCCTGCTCTTTCCAGCTCACCCGTGAGCGCGTGAGTGCTAGCCAGCATCAGCGCAGCAGCGCTTGCGCAGCATGCAGCCAGCACCCGAATATCCAATGTGTAGGCAGGCCCTTCCTTATATCGAAGTGGCCTGCGGCTGCGTGCTGTGCTGCGGTACTGGGCCTCGGTCCAGAAGCTACCGGTAGGCCCAGGGAGGCTGAGCCTCAGTCCGAAGTCAACAGGCCCAGGGCCTGTGGTGGTTACCAGCACCCAACTGCCTTCAGCATTTGTTCGGTCCACTTTGTGTATTTGGCCCAGGGCCTGCCTCAGTTACATGCAATGCAAGGCAGCCTGGGCCTGGGCGCTTCCAACCAACTGGCGCTGTGCAACTGCCTGAAATTTCCCCAGTTGCGAAGTAGTCCAAAATAGGCCTCTTAAGGTCCATCGGGCCTGCCTTCACTTAGGGCGGCTGACGCTGCTCCATATAGGGGCCCAGTAGGGCTTATCGAGGCCTTGTGCCTCGCACAAGGCAAAAAAAAAAAAAAAAAATCCATGGGAAAATAGATGCTGGCGGCAAAAGCATGCATTTTTTCTACCTGCTGCTACCGGTAGGCCCATATCGTTTCGCTCATGTGGGCCAGGCTTCGGGAAAAAGGGGTGCCCATTTGTTAAAGTCACATCGGGGTGCGAGGATCTGTGTCCTCGGGAGGCCTACGTGGCCCCACTTGCGTCTGTGCCCGCCCTAAGTGAAGGCGGGCCTAACATTTTACAAAAGGCCCTTATCTGTCAATTTCATATTTGGGGTTCAGACAGTTAGCACGGGCCAGTTGGTTGAAAGGAACTCAGGCCGTGCCTCAAAGACATTTTCACGGCCTTCTGGACATTTCGAAAGAATGCAGACCCTGGACGAGATTCGCAGCCTCATTCAGATACAGTTGGGGCGCAACCCTCAAGGCACAGGGCCTACATCTAGGTCTGCACCCTATTGGGCCTTCCGGAAGCAACCGGACGAGGCCCAGCGGGCCAGCAGTCTGGCATATAGGAACGAGGCGAAGGTATTCGGGCAGTATGCAAGTGCAGCAGCGCTGCTGGACGACGCGCTGGCTGGCAGAGCGCTGCGCTGCGCTAGTAAGCCCCGGGCAAGCACGTGCGGTAGTGCAYAGAGGGCGCTGCTTCAGGCAGCGCCATAGCTAGCCTCCATAGCGGGCTGGCTTGGATGAGAGTGGGCGCATGGRGTTGGTCTTGGTGTATGGGCACGGGACTGAAGTAGAGAGTAGAAGAGGGATTAGGAGAGAGAAGGGTGATGATGATGATGTTGGAGTACGTACCTGGTACTGGTGGTGGTGATCATCTCCAAGTATTGTGGGCGCTGCTGACGTCAACGAGTTGCA